GTCGGTTACTCTAAACCTTGACCACATCGACGCTCTCTCCACAAACAGAACACCACAAGAGCTCTTCAGCTTCCGTCTCCAACGCGACTCCCGGCGCGTGAAATCAATCGCCACACTCGCCGCTCAAATCCCCAAAAGAAGCTCGACTCACGCGCCAAGAACCGGCGGATTCAGCAGCTCCGTCGTCTCTGGTCTTTCTCAAGGAAGCGGAGAGTACTTCACGCGTCTCGGTGTCGGAACTCCGGCGAGATATGTTTACATGGTGCTCGACACTGGAAGCGACATCGTCTGGCTCCAATGCGCTCCTTGTCGGAAATGTTACTCCCAATCCGACCCGATTTACGACCCGAGAAAATCCCGGACTTACTCCACGATCCCCTGTTCTTCGCCTCTCTGCCGGCGATTAGATTCCGCCGGATGCAACACACGTCGCCGGACTTGCCTATACCAAGTCTCTTACGGCGATGGTTCATTCACCGTCGGTGATTTCTCCACCGAGACGCTAACTTTCCGACGAAATCGCGTTAAAGGAGTCGCCGTCGGATGCGGACACGACAACGAAGGTCTCTTTGTCGGAGCCGCCGGTTTATTAGGTCTCGGTAAAGGAAGATTATCGTTTCCGGGTCAAACCGGTCGCCGGTTTAATCAGAAATTCTCTTACTGTTTAGTAGACAGATCCGCTTCTTCGAAACCTTCCTCCGTCGTATTCGGAAACGCCGCCGTTTCACGAACCGCGAAATTCACGCCGCTTTTATCGAACCCAAAGCTCGACACTTTCTACTACGTCGAGCTTTTGGGAATCAGCGTCGGAGGGACACGTGTCCCCGGCGTAACCGCTTCTCTTTTCAAGCTTGACCAGATCGGTAACGGTGGAGTTATTATCGATTCGGGTACGTCGGTGACCCGGTTGATCCGACCCGCTTATATTGCTATGAGAGATGCGTTCCGGGTCGGAGCTAGGACCCTGAAACGAGCGCCGGATTTCTCTCTGTTCGACACGTGTTTCGATCTGTCTAATCAAAACGAGGTTAAAGTCCCGACGGTGGTTATGCATTTCCGTGGAGCTGACGTGTCACTTCCGGCGACGAATTATCTGATTCCGGTGGATACTAACGGGAAATTCTGTTTTGCGTTTGCCGGTACGATGAGTGGGCTATCCATTATCGGGAATATCCAGCAGCAAGGTTTCCGGGTCGTTTACGATTTAGCGGGTTCTAGGGTCGGGTTTGCTCCACGAGGATGCGCTTAATCCTGACCCGACCCGACCCGTACGGATAATGTACTTTAATTTTCTTTTGTTTTTCGCAATCTATGCTTAGACTTATG